CCCGCCCGGCCCGCGGCCCCGCCGGGCCGGCGGGCACACGGACACACCCGGCCCCGCGCCAGCCCGGCCGGCCCCCGGGCTGGGGCCCGGCTCGCCCCGCTCCCGGCTCGGCTCAGCCCGGTTCCGCTCCTGGGCCCGGCTCCGCTCAGCCTGGCCCTTGGCTCGGCTCGGCTCGGCCCGCTCCCGGTCCCTATCGCGGCTCGGCTCCGCCCGCTCCCGGGTCTCGGTCCCGGCTCAACTCCGCCCGACCCCAGTCTCAGTCCCGGCTCGGCTCAGCTCAGTCTCTATCGTGCTCCTGTCCCGGCTCGGCTCCGCCCGGTCCCTATCGCGGTCCCTTTCGCGGTCCCAGCTCGGCTCAGCGCGGCGTCTCTCGCGTCCTGCCCCGCTCCCGGCTCGGCGCGGTCCCGGTCGTGCCCCGCCCCGGCCGTGGGGCTGACGCGGGCCGGGGGCGGCGCGGCGGCCCCGCTTCCGGCGGTGACTTCACCCGCGCCCGCCCGGACACGGCTGTGCCCCGGCATGGCTCGGATCGGATCGGCTCGGTGCAGAGCGGGCAGCTCGGCACGGCACGGCTTCACCGCCCAGCACAGCCCTGCAAGGCTTGGCACAGCCCAGCATGGCACAGACTCACACAGCCCAGCAAAGCCCAGCCCAGTCCAGTCCAGCAAGGCTTGTCACAGCCTGGTATGGCACAGCCCGGCATGGCACACCAAAATGCAGCAAGGCTCGGCACAGCTGTGACATGGCCTCACATGGCACAGCCTGGCATAGCCCCCCCACAAGCCTGGGCAGCCCCCAGCTTGACTGCCCTCTGCCCATGCTCTCCCTCAGGGACGGGCCCAGGCCTTACCACGTTGGTGTCCTTCTCCAGCACCTGCTCGTTGCCATCATCCTCGTCGCTGGCACCCGAGGGGCCACTGCAGTCCAGCCGCACCAGGGCCCGGCACCGGTAGTGGCAGGTGAAGCTGCAGTCTGGGGACAGGGACAGGACCAGTTGTCACCACCACCAGCAGCCTGGGTGTCAGGGTCAGGGCACTCATGCATGGTGGGACAAGGGCTGCATGGGCTGCCTGCCCATGCAGTGCCCAGGGACCCAGGGGTAGCACCCATGTGGGACATGATGCTGTGCCACGTGCTGGCTGGTCCTGCAGTGCCTGTGTGCCCTGCTGGGCTGTCCAGTGTCAGCTGCTCAGTGCCTGGTACTGGGATGCCCAGTACTAGGATGCCCAGCATGGGTACCAGTGTGGGTGCCCAATACTGGGATGCCCAGTGGCCAGTGAGGATGCCCAGTGCTGGAATACCTGGTGCCTGGTGCAGGTGCCCAGTAAAGGGATGTGGGGTGCCTGGTGAGGGTATTCTGAATGGAGTTGCCCAGTGCCTGGTGAAGGTGCTCAGTATTGTGATGCCCAAATAGTGGGAGTGCCCAATACCAGGGTGCCTGGTGGGAGTAACTGGTATCGAGCACCCAGTGTGGGTGCCCAGCGCTGGGATGTTCAGTGCCTGATGGTGGGATGCCTAGTGCCCGGTGAAAGGAGTACCCGGTGGTGGGGTGCCCGGAGGCGGGCTATCCGGTGCTCGGTGGAGTCACCCGGTGCCGAGGAAGCAGAGTGGCGGGATGCCCGGTGCCTGGCAGGGATGCCAGGTGCCGGGATGCTGGATGGCGGGGGTGCCAGGTGCCGGGATGCCCGGTGCTCAGAGGCAGGATGCCCGGTGGCAGGGGTGCGGGGGGCCCGGGGCTCGGCGCGGTACTCACGGCGGCACTGGAGGCTCTTCCTGCCGCCGCCCCAGACGAAGTCCCCGCAGAGATCGCACCAGGTGTGCAGCCCGCGGCGCCGCGGCTCGAAGCGGTGCCCGCCGCCCGGTGCCGCCGTCAGCCGCGGGTCGGGATGCGCTCCGGGGCCGGGCCGGCGGGCCGGGCTGATGCGCAGAGCGTTGGCCCGTTCCAGGCGGCCCCGGCCCGGCCGCGGCTCCGGCTGCAGCTCCCGCAGCTCGATGAGTTCCATCGCCCGGCGGCCGCGGGCGCTGAGCGGCGGCGAGGCGGGGGCCGGCACCGGGGTCGGGGCCGGGGCGGGGACCGGGAGGAGCCGCCCTGTCCAGGCACCGCGGGGGAAACTGAGGCAGGAGAGGGGGAGACGGCGAAATGCCCCGGGGTCCCGATGGCCAACTCCGGTCCCGGCGAGGACGGCGGGGCGGGCTGGAGGCGGGGATGAGGCTCCCGGAGCCGCCGCCGAGGAAGGGGGGGGCCCGCTCCGGCAGTCCCGCTCTCTCCGCCACCTCTCTCAGGACCGGGACAAGCTGCGGTCTCTGTCTCAGTTCCCAGCGGGGAAGGGGCTAAAGGCACCTCTGGCAGCCAGAGAGCCTTGGACCCACTCGGGCTGGCCGCAGCCCTGGACGTGCAGCCTGGGGTTGGTGTGAGTTTACTCCATGCTCCAAGCTCGAGCTGCTCAGTTGGGGCTGCAGCTGGACCGAGGTGGCTTCCTGCCTGCTGTCATGGGTCCTACAGCAGCAGCGCTGCTGCAAAGCCTATTTTGGGGTGTCAGGGAGTCTTAGGCACCCCATCAGCAAAAGGACATGGCCTCGCCAACCTTTCCCAGCCATGCTCAGACCAAGGCTGCAGCCCTTTGGCAGTGAGAGGTGAGGACGCACCCCAGGTACATCCCCACCAGTAAACCCTGTTTACTGGTGATACTGGTGGGCGGGGGGCCAAGCCCTTGGTGCTAACACTACATCAACAGAGAGGAAAGGGGGGGAATTGTCCCTGCAAGGTGGCAGATGAGGAACACCCGAGAAATTCACAGCGAGGTGTTTGTGCAAACCACATCCTCTGCTCCCCACATTGCTCTAACGACAGTAAGAGGTGGTGGGAGGCCTTCTCGCCCCCTTCCCTCCCCGGCTGCAGAGGGCTTGGTCCTTCTGGTAACCACATCCTTACAGGCTTTTTTGGGTTCTCTGGGATTTCTGTTGTTGCAGAGGGGAAAACGGACGCACATGCCTCTTCCTGGGTGCAAGGGAGGAAAGGGAGCAGTTTAGCATCTTCAGCTAGGAGAAGAAAAAGCAGGAGCCAAGCAGCTGTGGGGTACACAAGGAGTTTTATTAAAGAAGGCAGCATGGTGGGGTAGTGGGAGAGGGGAGGAGAGGACAAGCCCGGCCAGTGCTGCCTGGGGCTGGGAGCAGGCAGAAGGGGCCTTTGCCAGCTTCTCTCCAGCTGCTGGGCTGCACACTGGGGAACCTCAGCCTCGCTGAGCTGTGGGCCAGATGCCAGACACCCCTCTTCTCTTACAGGTCATCCACAACACTCCTCGGCACCTCAGCCATCAGGTTGCAGGCAGGCTTGTGCTTCTGCCAGTGCTGAACCTGGCAGGCCCTGTGGAGGGTAAAGCTGCTGTCAGGGGCAGTGGAGCCATGTCCACCTCCGGGAGTGAAGGAGTAACAAGGACAAACCCCAGCACCACAGTCCCCTGGGCACTGGAGGGGACCTGGCATGGCCCAGCATTAGCCCAAGAGGGAGATGGATGCGGCCCTCAGTTCCGGGGGCTAAGACGGTTTAGCGCCAGACCTTGCCAGATGGTTCAGGACCAGAGAAGATTTAATTTACTGCCACCATCCCAGCTGCCACATCCCAGCCTGTCACCTGCACCCACGGGGTCATGGGTGCTTTCCTCCCCACCCCTGCCACACCAAGATGCAGAGGAAAGAAACTGACACCACGGAAAACCCAGCCCGTCGCTGCTGTCACTGTGGGCAGAGGCAGCTCAGCACCTCGCAGCTGCAACACAACACTCACCAGCACCTCCTGCACCAGCAGCCCAGCACATCACCCTCCCACAAGATTTGGAGAGGTACATGGCCAGTGGAGAGCTGGTGGTGCTGAACAGGGGTGGGACTCCTGGCTTGCCCTGGCCCTTTCTCAGTATCCTCTGGTGAGGTGTCTGGTGCTCTGGGGATCACTGAAGGGCTGCAGGGGGGGCCACAGGGGACTGCAGGGGACACAGGGGGTGGCAGGGCTCCCTTACCGTGTGCAGTACCACTCGTTCCGGCAGCGAGAGCACCTCTTAGCTGCTTCTACACCACACACCCTGCAGCGGGGCTTGTCAGGGGCCAGAGCCTCCATCATGTCCAGGCTGTAGGTTTGTGTCCACCTATGCAGGCAGAGAGGGGTGAGGCTGCTTATGGGGAACTGCTGACCTGCAGCAAGCTGTCCCCACTGCACCCTGCCACCACAGACCCCTCTGTCCTCCCAGTGCTCAGCTCCAGCCCCTGCTAATGGGGATACTGGCCCCACTGGCACCCCATGTGCACGTACCAGGGCCTCACCTGCGTGCCTGGAGCTTCAGCTCCTCCTCGGTGGGGCTGAAGGCGTGTTTCACCTGGTGCTTGGCAATGGCCTCCCACTTCCCCGAGTTTTTCTTGAGGATGTGGTCCCAGATGACAGGAACCTGGTGGGAGAGGCAGGGCAGGAGGAAGGGGTTCTAGCAGTCTGACCAAAGGTGCTGTGGTTCGAGGCTGTTCAGGGGGGAGGCAGCCAGCTCTGGGCACAAGGGTGAGGGTGAGCAGAGGCAATGTGTGCTTTTGGGTACATGGAAGGGAACGATCCACTTGCCAATGAGCGTTCAGGTGAAACAAGGCAAAACTTTTGGGGTCTGGTTGGGAATGAGTATTCAGCCCTGAGGCCTGGGCTCCTGAAGAGAAAGCCCTGGGATCTCAGCACCCTGCATGCTGGCAGCAGCATGAACCCCGTGCTCTGGAGCCGTTTGCCTGAGCAGATTTTTCCACTCGTCACTTCCCTGAAGATGAACACTCGGGGAAGGGCTGGCCAGTTCAAAAGGAAACACACCAGCCAAGAGCAGCGTGGGGAGTTCAAGCTCTGGAGAGGACGATGCTGCTTCAAACAGCACTGCCTTCTCCAGCAGAGTAAAAATAGCCAGGCCTGGAAGGGGAGGAGGCTGCTCTGGGAGCAACCGAATGGAAAAAGGCCTTTCCTTAGCTTGGCTCAGTGACAAGGAGTGAGTTCACCGCTTTCTGGGCAGAGCAGGGAGCCCATGTCTGTGCTTCCAGCTGGCTCCCCCTGCCTGCCCCCCGGGCTCAGCCCTGGTCCTTGACACGAGCAGGAGCAGCACCGGCACAAAAGCGGAGCTACGAGAAGGGCAGCAGCCTGGACAGGGTCCCCAGCGTGGCAGCTGCCTGTCGCTGTGCCACCAACACGCTGGCAGTCGAGGCACTTGGCCTGAATCCATGTCCACCTCCGCCCTGCTGCCATCCCCAGCCCCAACCACTCAGCTTGCTGGTCTGCAGCTTCCCCAGGCCCAGCTCTTGGCCTGGGCTGTGCCTATGGATCAGCCACATCCAGCGCTGACAGGACATGTCACCCTCCTCCCAGGCCATGGGCCAGGTACATGGGGACAGTGTGCTTCCCCTCCACACAGCCCAAAAGGCCACTGCCCAATCTACTCATCTGCTCCAGGAAGTGGCATGGGAGCTTCCAGCAGTGGGGAAGAGCCTCTGCTCTCCCAGCTCTTCTCAGTAGCCTCTTTGCAGATCTGCCCCCACACTCAGTTTCTCCCCTCAGCTCATGAGAAGGCAGTAGAAACACTTTTCTCCAGAGACTACCACTGCACAGATTAAAAACCCAAGAACCTCATGGGTGTTTGAAGACCATCAGTGCCTAACACCCAAGGTCCAGACACCATCTGGGACCAGCAGACTGTGTTGTCCCTCAGTACCCAGTGTGCCAAGAAGTCCCCAGCCAGGGCTGTAAAAGGGGACTCTTCCCAGGGAAGTCCAGAATTCAGCAGGAAAACACTGATAAAAGTTAGATGAAGAGTTAATTGTCAAAACAAGCCAGGAGCTGTGTCTGCTCCATGCAGCCACCATCCCAGGGACTCCGTGTGACCTGGAGAGCTGTTTATACCACAGCATTTATGTCTTTAGATGTGACTACTTGGCCACTGCAGTGGCAGGACAAAGCTCTCACATCACCCACAGGCAGCTTTGCTGGCAATAAGGGTGTAACTACGAGATGGGTGCTTGGCTGTTTTTCCAGGGCACCTCTCCAGAGTTTAGTGGGAGAAGAAAGAGGTAGAGAGTTATCAGGCTTAAAGCAGAGCATCTGGAGAGGTGAAGGAAGGGCCACAGGATACCTGCTCCAGGATGAGATCCTTTTTGGGGGGAGCTGGCTCTGTCACTGCCAGGTGGCTCAGAAATCTCTGCATCTCCATCAGGTTGGGCAGCTGGTCAATGAGGACATCTGTCAGGAACACACGGAGCTGTGGCCATGGAGGGGAGAGAAGAGAGAATGGAGAGAGGTCAAGACAAAAGAGTCAGAGCTAGGGAAGCAGCAGGGCCAGAGCAGGGATTTGTGAGGCACTGGCAGAGTGAACTACAGGGGTCTTGTGAGGTGCATTCAGGAAGGCAAGCTTTGCTGCTGCTGGTACAGTGACAGACCCGCTGTTATCACACCGCTGGCTCCTTGGAGCGCACAGTGAGGATGGGTGAGAGTCCAGAGGTGCCCAGTGCTGGCAAGGTCCCACTCCGCTGCAGGGCCCATGGCCTTTGTGCTGCAGGGTCCTACCTTGAGGAGCTGGCTCTTGTTGAAGCCATCAAAGTGGTATTTGCGCTGGCACTCGGGGCTGAGCAGGAGGTTGAGGAGGGCAAGCCACACCTGCCCATCGAGTTTGGTCATCTTCACCTGGTCTTCAGGGGGCACCACGTGCCATGTGCCATTCTCAAACTTCTTGAGCTTGCCTGAGGGACGGAAGAAGCAGGGAGACACAGCACTGTCTGAGGGAAGACAGCTCAGAGGTGGGGATGCTGGCCTGTGGTCACTGCCTCACTTCACTTGCAGGAAAGCCCCTCTGCTTCTGCCTGCCTCAGTTTCCCCACCCGTTGCTCAGCATAGCAGCCTACTTTGTGCTGAGGCAATACATTAGAGAGTAGGAAAAGTAGAAAGAATATGTATTAAAAAAATAGTGCTGTGGCAGGAATGGAAAGATCCCTGAGACATCTC